AGGAAAAGGAATTGAATTATATACTAAGGTTATACAAGGCCCAAAATAACCATTTAGTGACTTTTTGCAAAGATTAACTAAAATTTTACAAAAAAAATCTGCTTGGATTGCAAGCAGATCCAGAAGCTAGATGAGTACTAATGAATCTCTGGCTTTTGAAAATTCTAACTTAGAATGCAAAAAGATATTTGGGCCCTTAAAGGTCAGATCAGCATCAATGGACAAATGGATCCCACACACAGCCAATATTGAGTCTTTAGACTATAACACTGAATCTTGCATAGGAGAAGCAATTTCCAAAGCTATAAAGAGACATCAAAATACCAAATGCTTAATTGTAGTAGAATAAGCCACTAGACAAGGGGTTGTCCATTCCCCAAAAAACATTATTTCTAGGAATTACCCAAATAGAAGGGCCAACATTTTGGGTTATACAGAACATGTAGCAAAGGCCTGCACTGGGCCAGTGAAGGTAGAGCAAAAAGAGACAAACAAGACAATCCGTTATAATCAGGAAACTCCTTAAGGGGTCTCTCACAGGCCCTGAGCTCAAGCATGGTCCATTCATTCTCAGTAACTACAGAGGACACACCTCCCCAGGAAAATTAGAAAATCCAAGGTCTGTTATAAAAAAAGTATTGCTCTGATTGATAGAATAACCATAGAGGATGAATCAACAATTCCAACAGAAAATAGAAAATGTATATTTTGGTAGACATCTATAAATGATCAAAGACAAAAGCTGAGAGAACAAATAAATAATGTTATAATAGAAGGATAATTAGGTACAGGTACAAGATGTGACTATTATTACTCCAGAATCATGACATCTGAATTGGCCTCTTTAGGAGGTAGATGTTCAATTCTTCAGAATTGGAACCCTATCTCAGGTAAAACAAAGCATGAGATGGCTTGAATGCATAGGGCCAAATGGACAGAGATGAAGGCTGAGACCATGTGGCTAATATAATAATGAATCTATGAGATATAATTTGTAACAACAATGGAATACCCAGATAAACATTCATGCACACTAAGAATAAATCAACTCATGTTTCTGCAAAGGATATTGTGATGTACTATAAAAATCAGTCACTGATCATTCAGGCTGTCATAAAACACAGAACAACAACTGGTGAACTCTCAGAGGTACCAAGAGTCCTAACTTTAAAATGGCTGACAGAAAAACCTGCATGGGTTAAGCAATGGCTTTTAACAATGGAGAAACTTCAGGCTTTAGAACAACTGGTACACGAGCAACTCAGCATATTGAATATCAACCAGCCCTTGGAATTCTCTTGTATTTGTTGTTAAAAAAAATCTGGAAAATGGAGAATGGTGACACATCTATTCAATCTATGGGCCCTCTACAATTTGGAATTCCTTTAACTTCCCTATTACATAAAGGATGGTCTCTTACAGTTATTGATTTAAAAGATTGTTTCTTCACTATACCTTTATTTTAAAAAAGGACAGAGAAAAATTTGCCTTCACAGTGGCTACTTATAATAATTCTCAGCCTACTAGGAAATATCAATGGACCATTCTCCCACAGGGAATGCTAAATAGCTCTACCCCATGCCAATGCTTTGTAAATCAGACATTGGCAGTGACACATAAGCAATTTCCTGAATCTATAGTTTACTATTACATGGACTGCATTTTGCTATCTGATTCAAATGTAGATACTTTAGAAAGAATGTATGAAGAAGTAAAGAAAGTTTTGCCTCATTGGGGATTACAAATTACTTCTGAAAAAAAAATATAAAGAGGAGACTCTGTCAATTATCTAGGTTATAAAATAGGTTTACAGAAATTTAGCCCACAAAAAGTGCAAATGAGGAGAGATCAATTGAAGACTCTTAATGACTTCGAAAGATTGCTAGGATACATTTCCAATCTATGACCTGATCAAATAATTCACTTAAACAAAAACTTAGATGGTGATTAAGACTTAAGTAGTCCCAGGGAATTATCAGTTGAAGCTGAGAAAGAATTGACTTTGAATGAAGAGAATTTACAGAAGGTATATGTGGTTTGTGGGAATCTGAATCTTAACTGCATTTTGGTCATATTGCCTTCCAAACATTCCCCTACAGAAATTTTAATGCAAAGGGAAGATATTATCTTAGAATGGATCTTTTTACCACATAAACTAAATAAAAATTAAAAACTTATGTGAAAAATGTTTCTGAATTAATTATAAAAGGAATATTGATACTTTGTCAATTAGCAGAAATTATAGTACCTTTTACTAATGATAAAATTAACAAATTATGGGAAGACAGTGAACCCTATCAAGGAGCTTGAACTGATATTTTGGGAGAGATTAGTAATAACTATCCCAAAAGTGAGAGAATTCAACTTATAGAGAGAGTTATTTGGAACATACCTCACACTGTATAGGACACACCAATAACTAGAGCCACTACAGTCTATACTGATACAAACAAATCAGGAAGGGCAGGTTAAAAATAAGAAGATTTAAGTAAAGAGAAACAAAACACTTGTGATTCTGTCCAAAACTTAAAATTATATGCTATTCTCTTGGTACTAAAGGATTTTAAAGAACTTCTTAACATAGTTACCAATTCACAATATATAGAAAGGGTTGTTTTGCATGTTGAAACTGCTGAATTTATACCAGATAACACAGAATTGACTTTATTATTTATTCAGGTTCAAGATATAATCAGGAATAGGCTTCATCCCATATTCATAACACACATCCAATCTCATAATGGGTCTGCCAGGTCCTCTAGCACAAGATAATGCAGAAATTGATCAATTATTAATTTGAAATGTGCTGAAGGTCTCATAATTTCATAAAAACATGTCAATAGCAAATGTTTAAAATGACTTCTCTATTACATGGCAACAAGCCAAGGAAATTATAAGCTGTCTACTTGCTCTTTATACAACCAAACAGCACTACCTATAGGAAGTAACCAAAGGATACTCAAAGAATTGAAATCTCACAAGACCATGCCTCCTTCACTAGGAACAATGAGGGACACAGGGCTGGGGGTGAGGTGTTCTGTTGCTCCTAGGACAAAGGGGTATCTATAGATAATTCGGTGAGCCCCAATTGGGCTAATCTGCCTAGAGGCAATACTGTAGCCATATTTACCCCACTGCCTTCCACAGCCTTTTGTGGTGCAGGGAAATTTATGCAGAATATTTTCCAGCCCCACTTAAGAGATGAGGCACCCATACCTCTGTCTGGCCCCTGGAAATCTGTGGTTCCTGTTCCCTACCTGCATCCACATATTTGCTCCTCTTCAGGTATATACATCATTGTCTTTTGATGCTCTTGTAACTGGCCCCCATTTCCTTTCCTGCCTTGGGAATTCCTATCTTATTGTGAGAACAGAAGAAACACACCTTGTCACCTTCACTTTTTATACCACATATTATTTTAATAAACATCTGTATATTTTTGAAAGTCTAAAATATAGTCAGAGCCATGTACCTGTTGTCTGAGATTTCTGTCCTGACCAGTTCTTTTTGTGGACAGAGGTTTCTGTCCTATCTAGTTCCTGTAGACATTAAGTCCCAAAGAAACACACAGAGGTCTACATTAATTATTAACTGATTGGCCTAGTAGCTCAGACTTCTTATTAACTCTTATTACTTATATTAGCCCACTATTCTTGTCTATGTTAGCCACATGGCTCGGTACCTTATTTGGTGAGGCAGTCACATCTTGCTTCCTCTGCATCTGGGTCACAATATACAGAATAATAAAAATGGGTTAAATTAATATGAGTTAGCCAATAAGAAGCTAGAGCTAATGGGTCAAGCAGTGTTTTAATTAATACAATTTCTGTGTGATTATTTTGATTCTGGGCGGGAAACAAACAGCCTCCTTCTACAAATTGGCACCCAATATGGGGCGCAAACCCATGACCCTGAGATTAAGAGTCTCATACTCTACTGACTGAGCTAGTCGGATGTCTTGGAATGAATAAGTAGTGGCTTGTTGCAACATGCACTGCATAACAAAGTTTTGGTTAACGATGGGCCATGTATCCAGCTATCATCCAATAGGATCCTGTCATCTCAGCTTGGAAAGTAAACTCTGTCATTGTAGGAGCTGCTTCTTCTGCTGCTGTGACAAAACCTGATAGTAGGGAGGGAGGGGAAGAGAGGGAGAGAGGACAGGAAGAAGTCACAGTTTTGGGGGGATACAGTCCATTATAGCAGAGAAGGCATGGCAGAGGGAACATGAGGTGGTCAATCACACTGCATCCACAGTCAGGATGCAGGGAGAGATAAAGGCTGTCTTACTTTCACCTTTGGCCCAGCCCACAAGATGCCACTGCATATATTCAGGTTGGTTCTTGCCACCTCACCTAAATGCCCTCATAGGCACACCAGTAGGTATGTCACCTGGATGATCCCCAAAAGTTTTGAGAACAATTTTAACTTTTGATAACATTTTTAAAAATTTTTTATCACTTTGAGATTCAAAGTTCTTTTCATTAAAGTTTACGTAAAATATATTAGACAGGACTTTCTATATAGCTCTGGCTTGCCTTGTGTAGACCAGTTTGGTCTTAGACTAGAAGGACTTTCCTACTCTGTCTCTGGAGTGCTAGGATTACTGGTGTGTGCCCCGTGCTTTGAGATTTTCTTGTAGCATGTATCTACCAAGACATATTTCACACTCTACCTCCTTGGTGTCTGACTGGGGACAGATGACAGCAGTCAGGGTTGGAAACAAAAGAAGAGAGAGACTTCAACTTTGGCCAAGATTCCTGAGCATTCTGAGGCTGTATTTGTTTGTTTCTGTGTCACCATCATGGGATTATATGGCTCTGGATCCAGTAAACTCCAAGATGAAAGACAGGAAAATCAAAACAAAAACCAGTAACTGACTTACAAAAGGTAATTTATTGTTTTTGTAAAGCTACTGAATTAGGATCACTAAGATTTTACAGTAGATACAATTTGAAAGATACCAAAAAAATAAAACTCAGGTCAGGAGAGAATTCCTAGAGTATGTGAGCTGTGAGGGGGGGGGGGTCAGCCTCAGGACCAAGAGAAAAGCAAGATGGAGGACACTTGGGGAAGGCAAAGAGCATGATGAATTGGGCCAGGAAACACACTGACCCAGGTCGTCCAGCACACCATGTCTGCCCTGGAGAGGACCTGTAACAAAACAGACAGGAGAGAGATGTATTCCAGAGACTTCTGAGCTGTGCTTTCATCACTGAACAATTCTCCAACAATGTTCCAACCACATTTTCATCAGTGTCCCTTCCCTTATTCTACCTGTGTGCTGGCTTCATCTCCCACAAACACAAACCCTCACCTTCCTCTCTAGGGTGTGGCTCATAAGGGTCCTGGGTGTCTGGAGGAGCCACCTGATCGCAGGCCTTGAATGATGAAGATGGTGCCCACCACAATGCCCACGATGCCCACGGACAACCCCAGGGCACAGACCACAGTCTCCGTCAGCTCTGACATGGGGGCTGGAACCTCGGGTTCTGGGAAAGCAATGTTTGTGGAGTCAGAAGGGAGCACATTCATGTATGAGAGTGTAAGAGGCCAGGGTAAGGAGGGAAGTCAATCCACGCAGACTTTGGGGCTGAGCTTGTGGAAGAACATGAAGTCTGCCATAGAAACTCTTTGAGAGTGGAAAATGGATTTGGTCACCAGAGCCAGAAGACAGGCTGTTCTAGAGCTGACAAAGAACAAGGAAGTGCAGAAGCAGGGAGAACCCACACGTACCCCAGTGTTTCAGCATCAGTGCAGAAGCAGGGAGAACCCACACGTACCCCAGTGTTTCAGCGTTGGCTCCTCCAGGCCCCAGTGCTCCACCTTGCAGTCATAGACGTCATCGTCAGAAGGGATGAAGGTGAGGTAAGACATCTTGTGGAAGGAATGGTCGCTGTTAGAGAGGAAGCTGGTCTCATAAACAGTCTCTGTGACTGACTTGCTGTTTTTCAGCCACGTGATGTTGACCACAGGAGGGAAGATTTTGTCCACAAAGCAGATGAGGGTGTTGGGCTGACCCAGCAGCACAGGGACTTTGGGGAACACAGTCACCTCAGGAATGTCTGGAAAGGAAATGGCTTGGATGTGAGTGATTGATAGGAGTTTCTCTCTCTGACTTTGTGCACTGTCTGGTGAGGGAGCCCTCGTTGAGCCTCATGTACATGATAGTTCAACAACCTGAACTTCCCTCCTCTTTGGAGCTAACAGGTGACTCATCCATTTAACCTTATGTCGTTTCTAGCATGTTAAGATATCTGTCAGGACCTCTTCAAAAGATTGTGCATTGTGGGAACAAAGAGTTTTATATTACATGGAATATATGATTTGTAAGAAGAGAAAGGATGATGGTAATGAGATCTGGGCCTTGGAGAGGAGAGTAATTTTTTTAACTTTTATTGATTCTTTATGGATTTCACATCATGCATTCCAACCCCACTTATCTTCCTGTTCCCTTGCACCCACCCTCTGCCCTGCAACCTCCCCCAAAACAAAATCAAATTTAAAAGAAGACCAATCATGTTGTAGAAGCTGTAGGGTGGCCTGGTGAGTCACACAGTTTATTCTTCTTAGTCCATACATCTTTACTTAAAAGAGTTCATCGCTAAGAGTCTTTGGTCTGGTTCCTGGCCTCTGGCTTCTGCTGTTTTGGATTTGTAGGTTTGTCCCCTGCACATGCTCCAACAGTTCATAGATTCAGTGGATGTTGGAGGGGGCCAACTCATAGCCCTGGTTCTGGGCCTAGGTAGTCGCTGGGTTGGTCAGCTGGCTAGCTTTTCCTCATTGTCACTACTCAGATGAGCTCTGCAGCACTGCCTCAGCTAGCTCACCCAGGACAGCCTACAGCAAGGAGTGGGGCCAGTTCTCCTGCTCTAGGGCCTTCAGCGCTGGGTCTCCTGCTCATATCACCAGGGCTGGCTCTACTCTTTTGTCCAGGCAAGGTACAGGGCCCTCTCTCCTGGTTGTTGTTGGGATATATGGAGTGGGGTGGGGGTGGGGCCAGCTCTCCTACTTTCACACCCTCAGGGCTGGCTCACCTGTGTCCCCAACAACAGGTTTAGTTCTAGTGTGCTGCCCAGGTTGGGTGCAGGGTCCACTGTCCTGTGTACTGTAGCTGGTATAGGGTAGGACTAGTTCTCTTACTCTTGTGACCCCAGGGCCAGCTCTCTCACCTGCCACTGGTAGTAATGGGTGAAGCAGAGGACATCTTCCCCTCACCCATACTGCCACATGGCAGACAAGGGGGGTGCAAGGTCAACTCTCCTGCCCTCTCAGGGATGGTTCACCTGTGTCCCCGACCACAGGGTCAACTCTAGTGCTTCCCAAGTAAGGTGCAGGCCTATGGTGAAGGATGAGGTCATCTTTCCTGAGTGGCAGGGAACGGGGTGGGATGAGCTCTTCCCTAAGGAGTAGAGCCAGGTTGCCTGCTACAATATCCTGTGAGGGGCAGAATCAACCATTCTAGGGCCAGTGAAGGTTGGGGCTGTCTCAGCATGGCATGTTTCCAATGATCCCTGGTGCTAATACCAGTCATGAACATCACCATAGACCCCCAGCTGCAGCAGGACCATAGACCCAGACATGGTTTCTCTACAGCAGCTTGGGACCAGACCATGGCTCTGGTGGTAGCACAGGCTCCTCAGATCAGCACAGCCCCAGCAGCAGCATGGCCCCCAGTCATCAACATGGTCCCAGGTGACTAACCAGACCCTAGATATTCAGAGAGGGCTCGATGGCAACTGGAGCTATGGATACCACCCTAGACTCCAGCCTCCACAGGGCCACAGACCCAGACATGACCCTAGGCAGCGGCCTGTACTTGGAAGTCTCCATGACTCCAGGTGGCAGCACTGGCCACTCAGATCAGCATGGCCCCAGGCATGGCACGGTTCTCAGACACTGACATGGTCCAAGATGGCCAACAAGACCCTGGTCCTTTGCAAGGTCCTTGGTGACAACAGGAGCCCTGGATACCAACACAGGCCCCCTCGACTGCTTGAGGGTCCTTGATCAAGACCTGGCCCTTGGTCATAGCCCAGACATCACCCTGTACCCAGTGGCCAGTTGTCCATTCCTCATCACCCTCATTTCTCCAGATCTGCTTCTCTCTCCAGCCCAAAACCATTCTGCCTTTCCCTCTCTTCCACCTCCCCACCCTGAACTCTCATACCACAATGGTGCCTAACTGCTCAGCATCAGGGCTCTTGGGTGGGTCACAAGTGGCACCTGGTTGGGTATTGCCTGTCCCAGCCATAAGGAATGGCATGGATTGTTACTTTTCCTCAAGGAGAGGGTTTTGTAGAGCAGTGAATAGCATTCCCCACCAGAAAATGGAGAGAGGAGAGGGGTGCTGAGCACGTACCATTGGTAGTCGGGGTAGAATTGGTTTCTTTGATCAGGAGGTTCAAGTTGTGTTTTGCTGTAGCTATCTCTTGTAGTCCACCTTGTGGGTCAAAGTTTATTAGTTGGCCAAACTCAGGAATCCTCCAGACTGTCTCCTTCTTACCCAAGTCCACATATAACTCTTCATCACCATCAAATTCCATTGTGTACTGGCCGTTGGGTCCATAAGACTGATAGACCTCTAAACCATAGATGCCAACATGGTCGGCTGGTGAATTAAGATGCATAGCAGAAAAATGGAAAACAGGAAGAAAAAAGAACTATTAAACAAAATGATAGAAAATACTTTTTAAAAATATAATGGACTTAATTTTTTGCACATTTCCATCACTCTCTCGCCTATCACTCTCGGTGTTGGTTATGACATGTGCCACATTATGACAATGGCATAATGTTACGTGTTTGATTTCTGCTATCCTGAGCGCCTCCTTCAGGGTCCAGTACATGATGGCCTAAGCTGTAGCACCTGCACTATGGGAACTGGGCTGGAAACTTAACACACACACACACATACACACACAGAGAGAGAGAGAGAGAGAGAGAGAGAGAGAGAGAGAGAGAGAGAGAGAGAGAGATCATCCTTGATACAAGAATGCCCACTTTATTGTGCTCAGGGGCAGCTTATCTAGTGCTCTGGCCACACCCCAGCTCTCGGGATCTTTCAGCTGCAGACTCATCAGAACCCACTCTTCTGCCATCAGTGTCTCGTGGTCAGAGCAGCTGCATGTTGCTCAGAGCAGAGAAAAACAATCTGTTTACAGGGAATTCAGGGTCTGGGGGTTCACAGCCCCCAACATCAAGCCAAGTAGCTCACAACTGCATGTAAGAGAAATCTTCCCTTCTTTACAAAGATCCAGTCAGTCTGCTTGCTCTCTTCTAGGTTTGGGTCTCACTGATCTTTCATAAGTTAATAACATATCTGTCACATTTCATTTCCCTTCTTAAAAAGGACACTTTCCATACAGGGAAATAATAAATAATAATAAAAGGAAAAGCACATACAATCCTAAAGAAAGAGAATAATAACATCACTACAAAATATATGGAAACTGTTATATTTAAAGTTCCTGCATTGTTAACTGTGGGGATCTACAGGATAGTTTTCTGATTTCTTCTGGAATAAAAGAAATAGAGACTTCATATGGGATTCACCTCTGTATGTTTTGAATATGTTTATTACCATTGGTTAATAAATAAGCTGTTTTGGATGATGGCTTAGCAGAGTAAAGCCAGGTGGGAAATCAAAGAGTCAAAGAGATGCCATGTAGCTGCTGAAGGAAGAAGGTGGCCAGAACCTTTATGGGTAAGCCACAGCCTTGAGGCGATACACAGATCAAGAGAAATGGGTTAATTTAAGAAAAGAGCTAGATAGAAATACGACTAAGTTATTGACCAAGCAGAATTGTAGTTAATATAGTTTCTGTGTGATTATTCAGGTCTGGGTGACTGGGAAATGACAAGCAGTCTCTGTTTACAGAGACTTAATTGAATTGTATGCTTCTGCCAATCCCTACCTTCTATTTTTTCCCAAATCAACACTGTCATTCATTTGCAGATTCATGGTGAATTAAAACTTTTTCCTCCAACTGAGTATGTGTGAGATGCCACAGCGAGTGGCCGCCAGGCAGGCAATCCCACCTAAAGGAGGTCGAATAGACACTGTCGAGGCGCAGATTTTAGTAATTAGTTTCAGCTTTTCTTCCTTCTTCATTTATTGAGTTTCAGCAAATGTCAGACATGGTGCTGTGTAAGAAGACCAGGCCTGGTCTCTGCAGTCACCACGCTTGGTGAATGCCAGGAGAGGTGGGTCGGTAGACAAACAAGTACATGTAAGGTGCTGTGAGTGGCGGTGGGCAGGTCACAGTCTGGCGTTCTGCGCAAGAAGCTGCAATCAGAACTAACTGTACCATCCTCTCATGGTCCTGTTGTTTGCAGGGGTCTCTTTTTTTCCATTGAAATTGAGGTTGTTGTTATTTTTTTAATTTGCTGAAACCTCCTCTACTGTGAAGGTGTCTGCTCAGTTGTAATTACTAGCTTCCAACCACACTAGGACTCCCAGCCCCTCTGTCTTTCTATCCACATTCTACTCCTCCTCTGGCTCCTCCCATCCCAGCAAAGTCATCTTGGTTGGTATCACCAGTCCCCTACCCCACCCACAACACCACACCTCCCTCTCAAAGCTTTCTTATCCACTAACAATAAATCTTAATTTAGTTTCCAAATGTGAACATACAGCACATTTGCTTCCACAGGTTCATGTCGTGGGCCACAAGCAGGACACCATACTGCTTCCTATTACTACAGTTTGGGCCCCAGCTGCACTCACTGTCCTCAGCAATGACCTTTCTGCTTCCTGACCTTGGTCCTGCACCCATCGGTAGTCTGCACACTTCTTAGGGGCAGGCAGCAGTTTTTCTATGTTTCAGTGTCCACTTCTTAGCTGGGCAAGTGCTTTTCAAAGGGCAGTACTGAATGATTATTGCTAGTTTTCAGGCCCATGGAGACTCTGGGAATGACTGACAGGTGGCAGAATTGTGTAAAAGTCAGGGTCAGCCATGAGCAGGGCTGCATTAGGACCCGTGCACCCTTGCATTTAGCTCTGTGGCCCCTCCTTGATGAAAATATTAAAAGTCATATTTTATATATAAGACAAATGTAATATAGGCTGAGTTAAAGTCAAAGCAGTCTTCAGACCTTGAAATTTCACCTTTTTCCTTGTAAACTCAAAAGAAATGATAATATTTTCACATAGCCCTACAGTTGTGTGGTTCCTCAGAACTGTGCCCACTGTGTCTGCTCACACCTATTCGAGCACTCTAGTATTATACTGAAGGAAGAAACTGGGGAGAAAGGAGACAAGTTCCTTGGAGAAGTCTCCCAGGTGAGACTTCTACCTCCAACAAAACTGGAGTGAGAGCAGCCAGGGTTCACAGGTCGCTCCATCCCTTTCACTTCCTGTTTCAATCATTTGACTTTTCAATTGTATTTTAAAAGCTACTATCAATGTCTGTAAAGTGGCACAGAGTTACGGAGGGGTCCTGAGAGAGGGCAAGGATGCACACAGGGAGAGTGGAGACAGGTGGGCAACACAGGCCGTGGGGCCTCAGGCTTGTGTATCCTGTGCTTGCCTGTGTTGCTGTTACAGAACTTCGTCAGATGAGGAGTAGGACAGGCCAATATTCCTCACTTTGTTACAAAAATATGAAATTATGTTTGGAATAGGAACAGAGAAAATTGACATTCACAGGCATTTCCTAACAAATTAAGTAGTAAAAGTCTCTCTATGTAGCCCAGGCTGTCCTTAAACTCACGATCCTCCTGCTTTGGCACCTAAGCACTGAGTTACTAGTGAGCACTCCCACACCCAGCCTGGTTCTCACTGTTTTTAAAGCTCATCTACGTACTTATTTGTCTTGGTCACCGGTGAGGACACCTGAGGAAACCAAGGTTCAGGAGGACTGTCCTGTAGGATGGTGGCCCCTTCTCTCACTTCCCAGGGCCAGTTCCTAGCATGAAGTGTATAGACCCCAGCACAAGGGAAGTGTTTTCTGTACACCTGTATACATGATTCATGGAACTGTTTTCCTTAGGATACACTCCAGGAAATGGGTACAACGGGCTCCAGAAACTCTCAGAGTTCATGTATTTTAGTAATGAAAAATCATCCATTCATGGAAACACCCCCAAGTTTAGAGACAACCCCACCTACTGCAAACCCCTCCACACTTCCCTCCCTGGATCCACCATTAGAATCATGGCTTGGTGAGCACAGCTAGGCAACAGAGCCTCCTGAAGACAAACGGGGTCACACAGTTGTTAGGCCGCCTAATACTGAGAATTTGTATCTCAGTCAATTTGTGTCTCCCTCTTCTCTCGATTTCCCATTTCCAGGCTCCAGGCGTCCCTCAGCTGTGCAACTCACCCTTAACGTCGAATTCACCCCCACAGGGGCTGAGTGTGGTGGTCAGGGCGAGGATCCCCAGAACCAGAGCTCTGCTGGGCGTCATCTTCTTCTCTGGGTGGTCTCAGAAGCTGCTGTTCTGAGTCCTCAAGAGATGTGAGGAAACAGCCAAAGAGGTCTGACTTCAAACCAAACCCCGCCAGACCCAATCAGAAAATTCCGTCGTGATGACGTCACAGTTGCCAGGTGCAGCGTTTGTAGCGAGAGGCCGGCAGGAGGTGAAGGGGAACTCCAGGATGGCTGCAGCCTCTGCTCAGAGTGGACCTGAGGGAATGATGCCCTGGGAAGGAGAAAGTCTCCACATCAGACTTTATCCTGTGTATGAGTGTGCGGCTGGCAAGAGAGGAGGGAAGGTCTGAAAAACCTCATTGACAGGTGAATTCTTAGATAGTAATGATATTACTTAAATTTTTGTATCTGGGCTGTATGATCCAGGAAGTCTCCCCTAAATTTACATTTTTTCCTGTGGCTTCCTCAACCCCGACTCGCAGCCATTTCTCAGGCTCGCATACATGAGCTAGCTGTTTTTTCGTTTCTTTATTTCTTTTCATAGTGTATACAGAACACTTCAGACTGTGGGTTGATCACTGATCCAAGGGGCCCCCACAAATGGTGGCCAGTCAAAGCCATTGCTCTTTCTACTTGTGTAAACCTGGGTCAGGAGGATCTTTGCTCAGAAACCCTTAAGTTTCTAGTCTTAAGGCAGAGGCTTCGGGACACATAGCTCCCATCAAGAATGCAAGATGTTTATCCAGATTTCCCCCATCTTTTGAGTAATCTTCGTGTTTTGTGTGTTGATGCTCCGACCACATCTAAAGGAAGTTTAGGGACACTGAACACAAAAGAAAGTTCTGTCTAAGCTCGATTACTCTTAAAATATTTTTTAATAAAAGTAACAATATTCAGTCAAATGTTGAAAGGCGTTCTTGTAAATTAGAAAGTATCTTTGCTCCCCAAACTGCTGGGTTTTCCAAATTTGTTATCCTTTGATGTGAATATTTCAGTGAATGTGAAGACTGAGGATTAAAGTCACAGCAACCATTAGGTGTTCCATTCTTTATAGAAGACGGAGTTTTCTGCATTCTATTGAGGCCACAAGTTCATGATCATTTAGGATCACTTATGATCATTCTGTCCTCGTGAGACTAGTGTGTGAGCCCTCGTGAGACTAGTGCGTTAGCCCGTGGTCTTCACAGTGGTGAGACTGTGGAGGGTTGAGACAGGGCTCACCAGTTCCTGCCTAGGTGCTACTTCAGCCTCAGCCTCACTGTGGACTTGCCTCCTTCTGGGCAAATTTATTAAGGTACACAGAGTTTTCCTACCTGCCCCACTTGTTGATAAAATGAGGGAAAATTCCATTTAGATAATTTAGGGACCAAATTTAGTGCCTGGGTTACAGTCCCCTGTTGTTCAATCAAACACCCACCCAGGTATCATGAAAGTATTCCACGGTGTGATAAATCCTATAATCAGTTGATGTTAAGAGAGGGCCCTGAACAATAGGGATGAGTGGCCACAGCTGGGAAGTCTTAAGAGCCAGACGAGGCTCATTTGAAGAAGGGAAATCACTGTCATCTCTGCCAGCACAGTTCCCATCCGCCCTCCTGAAGACCACCTGCCCAGTGGTCCTCAGACATGCTAGCTCATCTCCACATCTGTGTAAGCAAATTCTTTGCAACAGCTTTCCTAGTGTATATCCCCACTGGCTTTACTGCCTTTGATATCCAGAGAGGCCCCGTGTTTCCCCCCCCCCCCCCGTGAGCTTTCTCTTTGATTTCTCTGCTGATCTTTGCCTGGAGGTGTTAACAGACCTTATTAGATGGTGGATGACCTCCTGCAGAGACATGAGCAAATGACTGTTCTTCAAGAGGACACAGACGACACACAATGAGATGATTCCACCTAAATCAAGCTTGGGGAAGCAACAAGTTTCTTAGAATTACTGATAGGATCACAGGAGAGGAGTTGCTTACAAGCACATGGTGACCCAGAGGTACACACACACACACACACACACACACACACACACACACACACACGGCCCACCGCAACATGAGAGCTGCATCCATGAAGTCCCCTACACAACTTGCAGGCAGCTCCATAGGAAAGTGTCCTGTGGAGAAAAGGGGGGACAAGCAAGCTGTGGTAAGTCAGGTCCCCTGCAGCTGGAGTCTCAGGTGGTTGTGAGCTGCCATGTGGCTGCTGGGATTTGACGTTCTCTTCTGACCTCCGAGGGCAAGGCACACACATGGGCACATGTAGAAAAATTGACACACACATATACAAATAAATAAATTTAAGAAATAAAGTTTAAAAATAAAAGCAAAGATGAACACACAGAAAAAAAATGTTGGGCACAAGAAGAGAAGCTATGGGGCCAGGGAGCTGGCTCAGGGGTTAAGAGCACTGACTGCTGCTGCAGAGGACCTGGGTCTTCCCAGCACCCACATGGGGACACAACTGCCTGGAACTCCAGCTTCAGGGCACCCTGTGGCCTCCCTTGGCACCGCTATGTGTGTGGTGCAGATAAAGTCATGTAGGCACAAACACATACATGTAAATAAAAACAATGAATACATCTTTTAAGGGAAATATATGCTACATGATTCCTTTTATTAGAAACCTTAGAGCTGACACACTTAGTCTATTATGTAAAAATGGGATAGTGGTCAGATGTGCTAAGTCCACAGTGTACTCTGTGTGAGGTTCATGAAGACTATTTCTCTGTTTACTAATGTGTACTTGTGTGTCTCTGTGTATGGTTGTGTGCATGCGGGTGCCTGGAGTCCAGAAGAGACACTGGGACCCCTGGGCCTGGAGCTGCAGGCAATTGGTGCAGCAGCACCAGGGAGGGTGCGGGAACTGAACCCAGGTCCTCTGCGAGAACCGTAAGTGCTCTAACCCCTGAGCCCTCTCTCCAGCCCCTCATCTCTTTAAAACAAACTGTTGCTGCAGCATATTCCTTGTACATATCATTAGGTTTTGTAAATGCAACTTTAGTACAAGTGTGTCGTGTGCCTTGACCATGGTCCCTCCCCCACTTTCCTCCTCTGCTATTTCCCCCTAGACAGTATCACTCCTATCTGCCCCACACATATGCTTTTTATCTGTATCTAGAAAAATACTATAGGAGCATGAGTTACAAGACTACTTGTCAAAACTTATTGAATAGTATTCTCAAGACCTCTACAAATGTTATCAATACAATAAAAATTTCACAAAGTTTCATAAAACTAGGCCTGGTTTACAAACCATGCAATGAGAAAATGATATTTTTAAAAGTTCCTGCGTTAGCTTTTCTTTGATCTTTAAACATCAGAAACACTTTAGGTTTGTTCATCAGATTTTGCAGCACACCTATACCCTAGGTCGACTTCCCTTTTCTGTAGACTCCTCACGCACAGCAAAGGGCTCCTCTCTCTCAGCTCTGACACAGCATCAGGTGCACGGCTGGGGGCTGCTGTGGTCCAGCGTCGCTCAGCTGCAGGCGGTGTGATAGTGTTCTCATAAGTAGACAAGGAATCAGAATAGAAATTCAGTCGGATTGGCTTGGAACTATAATGGACTTTGAGACTAACAATAATTTTTTATCTCATCAAATTACAAACAAGAGTTCTTGAGCCCAGACCACAGGAGGCAGAGTCGGGGTTTTAGCCCAAGCTGGGTCCAGCTAGAACTTTCTGTAGTTGCCCTGAGACTGGAACTTTCCTTCTGGAACTTTCTTTCTCTGGGGAAGAAAGTATAGAAACCCCAACAGGGCTGGACGGAGTCTCTCCTTGTGGACAATGAGTCAGTGCGCAGCAGATGGGGGACGTTCGTGTCTGCCTCTGCGAGGAATCACAGTAATGTGAGGTCTGTGTGCGATCACGGTGGCGTTGTTTCAGTTCTGAGGACAAGTAGATAAAATATAACAGTAAAGATGACTAAAGAATTGTAAAAGAACTGGACAGTGGATTTGAGTGCTTAACCCGGGGAACCCCGCAGTCCTGTAGCTGAGAAAGAGACAGAAAATAGACACTGGTCACCTGGGCACTTCCAGCCCTCATTGGTGCTGAACTGAGGATTCTCAAGGCCCCAAAGCTTCGTTCCTCAGGACCAACTCAGACTCCAAATAAGGCCAGGGCAATGCCTCAGTGGGTGAAGGTGCCTGCCACCGTGCCTGGGTTCTGACTCTTGGACTCATATGGTGGAGGGAGAGACTGACTTCTCTCTTGTCCTCTGACCTCTGCATACACATAAATGAAAATAAAATCATTATTTTAACTTTATGGATTTTACCTCCATCCAGGTCAGTGATATCTTCCCACTTACTTTTGAATTTTCTTTTGTAAAATGTCGTTTTTTCACTTCCTCCTGATTATACACATTTCCTATGAAAATTATTCCTTGCTCCCAGTTGTTAATGGCACTGCTCTCCTCCCTGCCTCCCGGCTCCCAAAGCATGACATGGAGATTCCTTGAATGCAGAACAAGCAAATGTAACACATCTTTACA